CACGGAACGAACTTTCTTTTCGGAGAGCGGTCCGATTAATTCCACCGAACGGCACCCTCGGGGGTGTTTGCATCCTGCCAGGTTGGCCGATCAGCCTGGCAGCTCGGCTACCCCTACAGCTACCCCCCTTAGTTACCCAAGTGCCACGTGCCTTTTATATTTCTCCTTTTACATCGAGACGTCTTCGTCCCCGAGCGACGCTCGAGCATCGCGCGACATGCAAATGCGCTCCAAGGATTCCCATTAAGCTTCGACTTTTCCTAATTCTAAGGATCGCGGAGTTTCGTCGTGCCGGTTCCTCCTGGCACCGTTTGCTTTCCCCTCTCTCTCTCTCTCTCTCTCTCTCTCTCTCTCTCTCTCTCTCCCCCCTTGGGACCCGAGCGAGAGTTGCCACTCGCGAATTAACCTCGTTCTCCCGAATTCCCAGCCACTTTGTTTCTCGACATTATTCATTCACCAGGATACCCGCACTTCCTGGCAGATGAGCCGAGAGAGTTATCTGGCCGGAGTTTTCACGGCTCGGGGAAAGTCGACTTTAAAATGGAGATCGCGGCACGCCCGGTGGTCTGGGGATAAATTCTGGCGAGGATGAAGAGCTCCTTAAGGTGGGAAGCCCTGACGAGTGCCTGGTGACGAGGGATTCGCGAGAAGCTTGAAGAGATAAAAAAAATAAAGAAAACGAAGTGCCTATAGAATATATCCTCGAGTGGCTGGGGAAGATCTCGCGACTCCTTGTTACCCAGTTTCCTCTGGAGAATTATTTTAGACTTGTTAATGTAATTCTCCTGAAAGCTCCCGCGTATTACTTCTTATTACGCCAGATGGCGCGGACGTAGCTCTTTGCTCGAATTGAACGAATTCCAAAGAGACGCGCCACGAGGAGGCCCGTCCCGCTGCATCCTGGGACTACTTAACCTCCTTGACGTTAAACAACGTGTCACCGGCACGTAGGAGCCAGCCAAATTTGTCTTCTTCAAAAATGCTGCCTTTCACGTGAAAGTAGCTCATTCTCCGAGACAATTGGGTCCTTAAGCTTTTATCATGCCAGTCGGCCATTCCGCGCTGTACCAGTTGCAAGCTCATCCGATACCAACCTTACAGCGCGAACGACCAAACGGAGAAGAGACGAAGCTTTATCGAGGAACGGGCAAAAGGCAAGAAAGTAAAACGAAGCGGAGAGACTAGGTAGCGACTGATGAGCTTGAAGATTGACCCCGAAGACGCTGAAGACTCTATGAACTGGATCAGCATGATTTTCCCTTATCTTACTCATTTTCGCTGGGCCAAGTGCCTTCCGCCTCCAAAAGTCCTTCGAACCCTTCGGTCTTCTTCGCGAATCCAAGTTCGCTTTTTACGGCCACGGGCTACCCTTAGATACACCCTTAAGGACTTTCCAGTGCTTTCATGGATGGATCGCCGACTTGGATGCGATTAGCGATAATACTTGAGAGCTTGATGCCTCTCTCGGATCCACCCTTACCTACCTCATCGCCCGTCTCATTCCCTCCAGCATCCTCCTTCGCTCCTATAAGGATCTGGAGATCCTCCCGTAGTCTTACCCCCTAGGCGCTTTTGAGTTAATCGAATCCTTTTTGTTTCAGCGAGTAACAACGTGAACGAGCCGCCCGTCCTGGACTCTGCAGGTTACCCCAGTGGTCTGCCTTTGTCAGAAGCAACGACCGTCGGTTCAAAAGTATTCACTCTGAAAGGTCACGACCCCGAGGGCTCCCCGGTGAAATATGGGATCCAGCTGACGGACAAATTCGTCGTCGATCCACATACAGGTGTCATTACCCTGGCAAAGCCCTTGGACAGAGAGGTACGTCCCGTCCCGAGCCCCGTTCCTCACGGCTACTCCTTTCATCCTATTCATAGGGACCTGCTGTAGTACCTTGGACCTCATACCTCGGAACAACGTGCTACTCCCATTCCTGCTCCTAAGGAAGAAGCGGAATGGCAGGATGTGCGAGTGAAACGTGCTCGCGTCCCTTTGTGCGGCCGGCTGCGAGGCTGCGACGACTCTCGGCATTGTGTTCCTCTTTGCAGGGACGCCGGCTGGGCGCGACAGGAAGTCGAAGAGTACGGGGAATTATCTGGTAAACGGAGGAAGCGCTCTCCTTTCGCCATGATCGCCCCTTACGGTTCGCTGCGATACGTGCTGGAGGCCAGGAGGAGGAGCTGTCTCTGTGTGTGGCAGCACACGTGACTGGTGCCAGGGTGAATTCCGAGGATGGACCTGAAAGGGATTTCTTTTTCAGTGAAATTGCTTCGGCTCCTTCAGAGACTCCCTCTCGTTCCGCTTACTTCTCTCTCTCTCGCGCAAAACTTCTTTTCGGTTCCGCAGAACTTCAGCCCTTTCGCGTGGGCGTCACCAAACTCAATTTAGTTCCCTCGCGAGCGGCGGCGCTAAGGAACCAGGAGGGGAGGGAGGCAGAGTCGAAGGTACTTAAATTTTCAGGAAATCTGGCAAAAGTTTTCTTTTCTCCCTCAAACTCATTCTATACATACAGTTGTTTCTTGCCGTTTCGAGTAATTGACGCATTATCCAGAACAGTCGATCCTGTCGAGTCCAGGCGTCAGCATCAGGAGCCAAAAGGACCTCGATCAGCCGGATCAGCTCTCTGACCTCTGGGAGCTTATCACGAGGCAGCACCCTCTTCGTAAATTCCAAAGGACTAAACGCGAAAGAGGGCGAATGCCTCTTTCATACAAAGGATCAACCAGGAAGCATATCGTCCCTTCGGCTCTTAGCGATACTCCCTTTAATCAAATTCCAGGAGGCTCGCAATAAATTCTAGAGCTTCGACGCCCCCGTCTGCGCGGCAGCTTCTTCTCGTATCTCCATCTCCCTCCGACCCATTAGTTCCACTCGCATCGGGGAGCCTCGCTCAGACCTCCCGGCGCTCCTTGAGAGAAGCAAGAAGCTCCAGGATCTCTCGAGATCCCGGTTGCTAGGATGAGTCCTTGGCAGTGGCACCGGTTCGTGCCACAATTACAAATCCTTCCAGCGAATCTCTACCAGTATACCATTGTCCAGTAGCAGCGTGAGAAATCAAGTGTATAAACTATTTTCCAGTGCAATTACTCCAGTGAATTTCTCTTATTGCTCCTTCATCTCTCTGGATAATGACATTACGGCCTGGCTCTCCTCCGTTCTACCCGGGAAACCGCCCGGGCTCTGATTTCCTAAAAGAGCAGGAAATCTCCCGAGCGCCAGCTATCTCACGGTTCCTCGTCCTCCATGTTTCAGGAGAGCGACACCATACGCTTTCGCGTCACTCTCGAGGATCAGGTGCCGGAGGGTCAGCAGCCGAACATCGTTGGGGTGGACGCGAACGTCATCGTCCTGGACGAAAATGACAACGCCCCACGCTTCATGGGGGCGCCGTACGAAGCGGTGGCTGCCGAAGACACACCACCTGGGTCAACGATACTGCCCGGCATTAAAGTCACGGATCCTGACCTGCTCGGCGAAAATATCGAGCTCTCCTGTATACCGCAGCCGCAGGTGAGTCAATTTGGCCGGGCGCTCGTCGCGGTTTGGTCCTACGGGATAAACGGGATAAACGGGATGAACGGGATAAACGGGACGAAGGCACACTCACGTGTGAACATAAACACTCCTCTACACTGTATGCAGAGCAGAGAGCAGATAGTAGCCGCATATAGCTACGGGGGTGCATAGGGGACATGCGGGATGCAAAAGAGGATGCACCGGACGTGTAGTACCTACACGTGGAGATTACAGGAGCGGAAATGAGCGCCTGTATATTCATACGTATACGAAGGGTGTATACAGGAGGAAGTCACGTGACGACGCGAGCGCGCGCGCGTCACTACATTCTCATTCCTGTATTATTGCCAAACCGATAAATTCCAGCAGACCCGTAAAGCGGCCAATAAAACTGTAAAACCTTTTAACTAATGGCCTTCCAGCTTTACGCTGGCGAACTTTAATGCTTTTTGTTATACAGTGCGCGCGTGGACCGAACGCGATCCTCGGTCATTAAACGTAACTAATGCTCCAGTAGCGTCTGCTGGTCTCTCGCGACCTCAAATTTCCTACGGGAACTTCTAGACACCCACCCCCCC